CTTCATGTATTTATTTATTGTTTGTGGAGGACACTGACAGTAAATCTGCTCCAGACAGTCAGCAGCAGCAGGAATCAGCCCCAACCAGCTACTGACCTACATTCACCCCCCACCACCACCCTTGGTTATTCTGTTGGGTGGAGGGGCAGTCTGGGAAGCAGGAGTGGCCTTGATGAAGCCTGTCACTCACCCACCCTCCCCCCCGTCCTCCCCCTGGATCCCAGGGAGCGGCAGTGCGGTCCTATCAGGCTGCAGCGCTACATCAGCTCCAGTGTGGTCGTTGCTGTCCAACACAACAGGTTTATAAAAAGTGGAGGACTTTTAAAAATGAGCACAGGGCTGCTCTGCTGACGCCTGCTCTGCATTAACTCCATCAGTGACTGTGGGTGTGAACAAAGACAGAGCACCACCTGTCAAAGCTCCATCACAGACAGCTGCACACAGGCGGAGCAGAGCGCTGATCACTGATGCTGTTGTAACGTCTGCACTTTGTTTTTTTATTGCTGTGCGATCGCATCATTTGCATTTTGGAAGCCTCGCTGGAAGCTGCGTGTCCGTGTCGCTGCCTGGATGCATCTCGCTGTCACATCCATGCATCTGACCTTTCACCTGACCTCACGAGTCAGAGGACTCAGCATCCTCCACGTCGTTGATTCTGCCGTCATCCTGCACGCGCTCAGTGAAGCCAGACCCACACTGAGCTGCTCTGTTTGCAGTTTGTCCAAACTGGCCACAGACGAGATTTCAGGATAACAACACGACGAACGTGTCAGAGGCTCTGTGTAAGAAATGATCTACAGATCTCAGTTCAGCCTCAGTCTGTGAGAAATCCTTTCAGCGTTTCTTCATTGCCACATGTAGCATCATCTGTCCAGCTGCACATTTCTCTGGTTGTGATATTCGTACGTGTCATGTGTATTTGGAAGTTTTAGGTCGGAGCACTGAGAGGAGGCTGCTGTGGGATACGGCGATTAATCCTCCGAGATTTGAGGGTTTTTCTGATCAGGCGTCTTTTATCATTGACCCTGGATCATTAAATGAGTCAATAAAATATAGAAATATTAATAGAATTAATGCAATTTTAAAATAGTTCATTGTGTAATAAAACAAATCTTTAGAGTAACTGATATTTAAAACTCTTTTAAAACCATTTCAGGATCGTCTGCGCTGCTTTTATCCCCGTGCTCGGCGCTCGCCGTCGGGCAGGTTGGACGAGCTGTCAGTCGATCTATTGAGGAAGCTTCACGCTGCAGCAGAGGC